GTAAGTCCCGCCGCATGCATTTGGAGATCTGTCTGTTCAGTTGCCTGTATGCTGTCAAATCTGTTGAAGAATGTAGCTTCATCTCCCGTCTAACAGCCATGAGATTAAGAGTGTAATCGGAGAGTTTTTGTGTTCTTCTGCGGCGGGTCTTGCAGAACTTAGCTCGACCGCATGGACAGTTTCCACGAGCTTGTCATTCATATCGTCCACTTCATTGCAGACTTCAAGGCACTGAAAACGGTTTTGTAACTCGAGCTGAAAAGTTTCGGGACTTTGGAACAGAGCAGGAGGGGGACGGAGCGTTGACTTCATTAGATGAGACCTCTCCAACTTAACGTTTAGGTTCAGTGTGCCTCTAACCATTCGGTGATCGCTACCAGTTTTCACCCTCGCGATCACGGAGACATCACTGAACAGTTGTCGTCTGGTCGTCATAATGAAGTCAATCTCATTTTTTGTCGATCCGTCGGGGCTCGACCAGGTCCACTTCATGTGGGGCCGCTTCTGGAAGAAAGAGTTCATCATAAAGAGTCCCTCTTTCTCCATGAAGTCGGCCAGCTGCTGGCCCCTTGGGTTCCGTTGCCCTATTCCAGATTTCCCTACTTTTAGCTCACCGTTCTCTCTTTTGCCTGGTTTTGCATTGAAGTCTCCCATTAACACCGTATATTGGGTTTTGTAGGAATGCATGGCTCTAGAGATATGCTCACACATTTCCTCCACCTCCTCATCGGGGTGTGCGGAGGTTGGTGCGTATACCTGTATGACCTTCAGCGAATACCGTTTGGTGATTCTGAGTATAAGGTACGCAACCCTCGTCGACAAACTCCCGATCTTTACAACGTTGTTAACGAGAGACTTGTGGACGATAAATCCGACACCTCCTTGGGACAGATGGTCGCCCTCCCGGTGTAGAGCAAGTTGCCGGATTCGAGGATTACCTTGTCCTCCCCCTCTCTTCGGACTTCGGATAATCCTATAATATGCCAGGACAACTTGTCTATCTCTTCTTCCAGCTGCACGATCTTCTCGTCAGTCCTCAGGGTGCGTGCGTTGTACGTTGCCAGGTCGAGTCGTCTATGGTGGCAACCGAACCTCCACCGGAGATTCTTAGCACCCCCTAAAATTAAGTACATTACTTAAATTTGATTTTTACTGGTTTACACTCCCTGTTGCTCCCTCCCTATCACATAGAAACAGTGTTACAAACTTCTCAACAAATACCCCCTAAAAAGAACGAATTAAATTGCTTTTAACAATTTAATTGTTACCAGCGGGGATTTTCTTTTTTTAATTGTTTTGAAGTTATACTTCTTTTGGCGCGTTTGAGAAAATGATGACAGTGATTTTTTTACGAATCGCGCGCACACCTACAGATAAAAACGACATCATGAAGTTGTTACGATGCGCGCGCACACCGAATCCTAAAAGCGACAACTTCAGTTGGTAATTTTCTATCAACTGTCAAGTTTTCGTGAGAACTGATAACTATATTCAAGGTTGTTACATTAATATTCTATTTGAATCTATAAATCGTGTTTTATTTTATTTATTTTTGTTTTGTTCCGCTAAAGAAATATTACTTCTAACGTGCGTATAGTTCATTTCAAATAGGATGGCAGGATTCCACTTGAGACTTAGCAATTACAACTGTAATGTTAATCTATTGTTGTGTGATTATTTTATTGCTTTAACACTTGAAGTTAAGCATCTGTTGATAATACTGAACCAGTATAGCTGGAATGTCGAATTTTGGTACCTGAACATTAAAACAAATTAAATTGTAGACAAAAAATCTTTAAAAAAATTTTTGGGAAGAATGTTTGTGACCATGTCATAAGAGTGGAAAACGAATTTTCGAGGGATCGGATACAACCATTTATAATAAATACGTGTGAGGACACAGATACCGATGAATGTTCTTCAGAGTGATTGATTAAACAAAATATTAACAAGTTGTTATAAGTATTTAAAATAGTTAAGTTAAAAGTAATAAAGGTTTTTTATTTACAATTTAATTTGTTTTAATGTTCAAGTACCAAAATTCGTCATTCCAGCTATACTGGTTCATTATTATCAACAGATGCTTAACTTCAAGTGTTAAAGCAATAAAATAATCACACAACAATAGATTAACATTACAGCTGTAATTGCTAAGTCTCAAGTGGAATCCTGCCATCCTATTTGAAATGAACTATACATAAGTATATACACGCGTTTTTTTTAAACAACGTTACTCTGCACCACATGAGTAAAAAACGGAACAGAAGCAAAGCCGCCCTATATATAATTTACTCTGTAAAGCAAAGCTTCCAAGAACGTGCAAAATTGTTACCTATTCTGGTAGGGTTGTCACAATAGGTGAAGATAAATTAAACAAAACAATACCTATCATATTATTGCGTTGTCACTGAAGTTACGGTATACAAAATTTCAACACAATCAGACACCGGTAAGTGGTTCAAATCTTACTTGCAATATGTGAACTTAACCTACATACCTAATACATACCAACCCACCCACATACCTAGAAATGTTTAGTAGAAGCTTGTAATATCCATAAAAAGGTAAAAACACACCGTGTAGTACCGTCTTCTTATTAAAAAAAGGATGACACTATTAAATAAAGGCACTTGAAAAAGTAATAATCAAATATTTACTTACCTAGTACTCCTTGGGATGGGGATGGGCCGGCTCGAACCGGGGTACCACGAACTCACATAATACTAGCGTGAGAAGAAGTTTACTTCTGCGTTTCGCCTGGTGAGTGCAGGTGTCCAGAGGCATAATCTCCCCTTTCCCCCATAACAGCGGAGTTAAACACAACACTATCCCAGGAGGGTACCAGTACCCCTGGTGACGAAGAATCCCTCGATGAGCATCCACGCCCAAGTTACCCTACTTTTGCTGAATATAATGTTGTTGCTGAAAACGAAATGGTACAACCAGTCCGTGTTGCCAGTGATGTCTTACGGATCTGAGACGTGGTCCTTCACTGCTGGCCGTATGAGGAAGCTCAAGGTCGCTCAGCGAGCTATGGAGGAGGCTATGCTCGGGGTTTCTCTGCGTGATAGACTTAGAAATGAGACCGACATAGCCCAACGGATTAGTAAGCTGAAGTGGCAGTGGGCCGGCCATGTAGCTCGAAGAACCGACAATCGATGGGGAAGAAAGGTTCTCGAGTGGTGGCCTCGTACCGGTAGGCGAAGTGTAGGGCGACCCCCCACGAGATGGAGTGACGACCTGGTAAGACATGCAGGAAGTCGATGGATGCAGGTGGCTCAGGACCGTGTTTTTGGCATTCCTTGGGGGAGGCCTATGTTCAGCAGTGAACTTATGCAGGGCTGTAATGATGATGATGATAAGGTTGTTAGTGAAAGTATTTTATTTTATCTTTTATCACAAAGTAAGACTGTTGATCGATAAATACGATTTCATAAATGAATTAAAAAGAAATCAATAACATCTCCTTATTTTTTAAATTTTATACAGAAGTACCTAGGTAGGTAACCAGGACATAACAATGAATCATAATTTCGGAATCATTTATATAAAATCACATAGCCAAAATCAAATGTCGGTACCGAAACTGTATAACTTTAACACTAAACTTTCCTGCGCTGCAAATGCGAAAGTATTGAAAGCTAGTGATCATATAACCGTTTTTGAAAGCATCTTTATGAAAGGGTGTAACGGCAAATCAAAAGATGCCCATATTAGCGGACAACATCATGGACAGAAGTCTGCTAACCTCTGTCCATGATTTTATCCGCTTAGGCGCTTATCTACCAAAAACATGATGTGACAGATCAACATAAAAATGTAAAATTAATGTACTATTGTATGTACAGTATCTTTTTTTGGCTGATGGCCTTATAGTCAATGCCATAAATTATGGCATTGACTATATGGCCCATAATAAATAAAAAATATATTTGACAGTGTTGTCAGTAAGTTACATTTCTTACATTTTACGTAACTTTTTATCAACCCATGTAAAACGAGCATGTAACTTGGTAGCTATATGAGTTAAAAAACTAAAGCGATAGCTTTAATTACAACTTTATGGTTACTTAAATTGCAGTAAGCTAGATTTGATAAAAAAAATTGTATGCCAATGTTAAATGGATACTATACCCATGTAGCCGAGTGTAGTCTTCGCGTAAATATAAGAAATCACCATGTAGCATAGGCAAGCAAATTACGTAAAAAGTATGGCGATTAAAATAAAATTTGGATGGTGTTTAGTCAAACATGCACGTATATTTGACATATATTAAAATAATTATAGTACCCTATATTTATACAAAATATTCAAATTTAATAGATTCTGGGCTTAATCATTTATTTCTCAAGAATACTATGTAGTTATGATTTGAAGATAGAAGAAATTTTAGTCTTTATAAATACTTAATGTTTGTAAAAAATGCAGCATTTTAACTTCAATTCTTTTTAAATCGTTTGTACCCATATTTCTAATTTTTCTAAATGTTTCAATTGTTTATTTAAAAACTCAGACAAATTATTAAACAATTATTTTCAGTATTATTTCTATATAACTTACTGTTATTTCTAATATTTGTTTGGTAGATTAATCAAAAATTATAACTTTGTAACTGTTAGTTTATTATTATATTTTATTATAAAAACGTAACTTTTCAGGCATGCATATGTAATCAAAATGTATAATATAACAATATTATAAAATCACTACGTTTTAAACGTAACTTTCAATCAAGCCACGCTGGCAACACTGGTTTTGAAGTTGGCATCACTGCATTTGCATTATTGCCTAATCCAGTGAGAAGATTTGTCATCCGTCTGGAATTAGATAAAATTCGTACGTGATAAAATTACAAATATTTCTAGTAATTGACCGCGCTTAAACATACTCTGTTGTGTTCTGAAAAATCATCAAGACTGTGATTTATCAAATAGTGGTATTGTGTCTTTTTGTGGGTTTGGCTACGTATGTTTAGTTTAAAACAGTTCTACAAGCAAAGATGAATAACATCAGCAGAACACCGAAAACAACACCTATAACGGATGATTACGATATCTCGAATACCGTTCTTGGCCTCGGTATTAATGGAAAGGTAAGTTCAAATAAGTTCACTTTATAAAAATGTCAAAAAACTTTTTAATAATTACTTTCATTCATTGTTTACATGTATGACGTAAAGTTCAAAATTAGCATTGCTTTGGTTTTTTTTTTATCACATCTCGGTTGACTGGACAACGTAGGTCGACGAGATGTTTATTTGCTAAAAATTTCAATGTCGTTTTTTCGACTTTGACGCAAAATATTCGAACAATTGCGCACGATTTATAATAAAACTGCCGCATTTTAAACTTATAATTGGTAATAATTTTATAAAAATATTATTTTTCAATCGAAAATTAACAAAAACATTTACATTATAAAGAAATATACAATCGAATATCCAGTATACCTGTATTGGATTATTCTTTTATTCATTTAAAAATATACTAGCTAGAATCTTACATATCTATAATATTGTTCTTTAAGCAATTAAAGACCTTATACTGAGATTTCTGCTAAAGATCTTTTTATAAAATTGCAAACCAATCAAAAAACATCTTAAGTATTTAATTACCTTTTCGATTACACAAAAAAAAATCATTGTCATCATCATCTTCAATGCTTTCTATCCGTTCATGAAGTTCCATCACAATCAGCTGAACCATTCTAAAATTTGGCCAACAGATAAAAAAAAATTGTTAAATCATGCCTTAAGCTAGTTATTTTGATATTACAGATAGACATGGCATAAAACTAATTTTACAGATTTCATGATGTCTAATTTACTTGTTTTAATTCCTATATTTTATTTCTAATAAAAAATGATTTATTTTGTTTAAAAGTTGCACCTCCCCTGTCTTACAGGGTTCACATCAACCCGTAAAATTAGTTTTATTCAATACTAGCTGTGCCCCGCTGTTTCACCCACGTCATCACGTGTCGGAGATGTGCGACATGACCTAGTTCAAGCATTTTATAATTTCAATTAAATATTTTATTTGATAGCAATAGATGGAAAAATTGGCATAATTAATGGAGTACTTTTATCTGTTGGCATATTATGTATGATGTAGAGCGAAGTTAAGTTTTATCCACTTTCCCTCCCCCTCCCGGTTGAGCAGTTCTCGCAGTTCTCACCGGGCCAGCCAAGTATTGAATTATTTTAATTTTACATTATCTCTTAAACTATGCGTCCAAATAACATGGTGTAAACAACAAAGTTTATCATCATAAAATTGTCTTGATGATGAAGTAACTTTCGTTCGTAAGGATAAATAGGCCATGCCTAATAATAACGCTCATAAATCACTTTTAAATTTTCAATGTTTTTTTGTCACAAAATACCTAATTATGGCTTATGTATAAAAAATAGACATATGGTATCGTAGACTTTTTTTTAGACGGAGTAAAGATCTATATTTTTCTAGAACATTGTATTTACGTATCCCTAACGCTAACACCAGCGTACACAGATAAATCATTTCGGGAGTGCTTTTTCTACTGACTTACTTCACAAATATCTATATTTAAGGCTAGCTGAGTGATATAGCTTAATTCTAGATAGCCTATACTATTTCACATGAATCAGGCTATAATATACAAAAAGAATTTTTCAAATCGTACTTATAGTTCCAGAGATTAGCATGTTTAAACAAACAAAAAAACAAAAAAACTCTTCCGCTTTATTATATTATAGTATAGATAAAAAATTACTTTATAAAAATAATATAACTTATTTTGAAAATTCACAGGAATAAAATAATTTGCATATTCTGCTTTTGAAGTCAGTGTGATAAAGTGTATCACTGAATTAAAGTTCCTCACTTCAGAATCCTCTGCTGTCAGAGTGATTGGTGGTTACACATTGTTTTTCTACTGAAATAATTTTTTAATTTTTTTTCGATATAAATTTGCGTAAACTTTCTCAATTTTCTTTGTGTTGTCTGTGTAATACTTGACGACGATGGATGTTTACGGGGGAGACGCTGAACCACCGGATTTATGCGGTGATTCTAGCTCTGTCAAACGTAAAGTTACGGATACTTTACCCAGCTTCCCAAAGAAAAAAATAGGGCACGAAGATCACCCTTTGGCCTCCTATCAAAATACATTCGTCCACCCTGAATTTCAAGAAAAAAAAAGTATGTAGATAGCGATAAAGGCCCCTTCGTTATTCATTTAAGTCACTCAGAACCTGATCTGTCAGCAGATTATACAATTAGAACTCTGAAAATTGGCCATATCCTCTCACAAAATAAAGTAGCCAATATTGAAAAACAGGGCATCAAAATCTTAGGGCGTAATAGAATTTCTATTACGCCCTAAGATTACTGCTACGGCTACTGATGCTAATAATTTTATTAACTCAGTTTCTTTCACAATATAAACTTTCTGCTGTCATTCCAACTTTTAATGTTACTCATATGGGTGTGATTAGGGGTAACCCAACTGACATATCTATGGAGGAATTATTTTGTGAATCTGAGCTCCCTCCTGGCAGAGAGGAAATCATTAAAGCCAGAAGACTTAATAGAAAGGTCAAGAAGGGTGATGAAGTAGAGTGGGTCCCTACTCAAACTGTTGTCCTAACCTCCTTCTCTGGACAAGTACTCCCCTCCCATATATACTGCTTTTATGCATCAATACCTGTAGAGACTTACCTTCTCCCTACCATTCAGTGTCTAAAATGCTGCCGTTTTGGTCATGTCAAAGCTCAATGTCGATTCAAACCACGCTGCTTTAAATGCAGCAAAGACGTAGCGATAAGGTCTGTCAGTCTCATAAACTTAGTAAAATCAACCAAAAATTTTTTTAGTATTTCACCCTTAAGATATGAACTGTAATGAATACAGTATTAATTATTTTACTCTTAACCGGTTCAGTGCAGATGGCACGCCAGGCGTGCCATCGATTACTTTTGTGTGTGGCGTATGACACACGAATCGTGTCTTTTTAAAAATCGTTATAACTCGCTCAAATTGCGTTTTTGGAAAATTTATTCCGAACAAAATATTCATTATTTTGCAAGTAGTTCATGACTGCGGCTTCGTTTCTGGATATTTTGAAAATTTCTAAATTTTTAGGGGTTTGACAACTTTTTTTTTAACTTGTACATGGTACTCTTTTTACTTTGTGGGTTTTCAGTCATGTTGTGGAAAAATAGTCTAATAAGTAACAAATAATAGCACTCCTTGCGATCGCTCACAAACTCAAGTTGTAAATAAATTTCTGGAAAACAAGTCTCCTGTTAAAAAAACAATGCGTTTGTCTTATTGTTTAATTTTGCTTAAAATAGTTGTTATTGAGAGCAGAAGAGACAGGACCCCAACCTGTCTCTTCTGCTCTGCAAATCATGCGGCCATTGAATAAAGTTGCCCTGAACACTCAAGGCAAAAAGCTATCAAGATAGTAATGTCTCAAGAGAATGTGTCATACCTTGAGGCTTCTGCTTGTTTCCCAGCTGTCAAAAGACCTTATTCTGATGTTAAATCCTCACAAGTTCCTGCAAGCCATCTTCCCTCTACTCAGGCTCCTATAAACCTTTCTACTTTTCCATCTCCTTCCCAATCCTATAGGAAAACCATCTATAAAGCCAAATCTATCCCAGCGCAATCTTCAGTAGGTTATGATAAAGTTTCACATTATAACATTACAAGTACTCCTTCCTCATCTCTCCCCAATGGACATGCTCTACAAAACAATGTAATATCCTGTAATGACCATCTTCTAGAAAATCTTGAGGCCTCCCTTACAGATATTGTTGGCAAATTTGATGATTCCATTTACCGTTCAATGTGAAAAACAAACTAGATGTCCTCTTCTCCAGAATATATAAAGTTCGAGTCCCTAACCCTCCTCCAGTGGAATTGTCGGAGCATCAGGAATAAGAAACCTATATCAGGTTTCTTCACTTAATTAACTCTTATAATCCTTTAATACTTGCAATATCGGAAACCTGGCTTAAGCCAGGGTCCTCATTTAGAATCCCAGGCTTCTCCTGTTATCGTAGTGATAGGAGTGACGGCTATGGCGGTGCGCTGATTCTACTAAACAGGACCCTTCCTTTATTACCTATCCAGCTTCCTCCTATACTAGGCAATATTAATGCAGTAGCTGTGAAGGCTTTGGACATCACACAATTTTATCCATATACATTCCAGCACCCACTCCTTCTTGTATTCCAGAACTCAATTTAATCCTATCAAGCATCCCTTACATTGTTCTATGAGATTTCAACAGCCATCATGTTATGTGGGGTTCCCATAAATCTGACTCTTTTTCTTATTTGCTACTTGATGTCTTCAATGAATTTAATCTTTGTCTTCTAAATGATGGTTCTCCCACCTGAATGCCCTACCCTTCACAGAATACTAGATCCGCAGTAGACTTGTCATTGTGCTCTCCAATCTTAGCTGCTAGCATATCATGGAAAACTATTCCTTCCTCTTTTGGTAGTGATCACTTTCCAATCCTCTTAAACCTAAATAATATATGTGTCCCTACTCGAAGTATATCTCCCCTTTTCAAATTCAACCTGTCTGAAGCTGATTGAGATGTATTTTCCTCAGAATCAGAACTTCATATCAATAACCTTCCCCCAGTTTCTTTAGATAACTTCTGAATAATATAGCCTGCAAAATTTTCCCTTTGAAGAATTCCTCCACAAAAAAAATTTCTTCACCTCCATGGTGGAATGCAGACTGCTCCTCAATTATTAGAAAACGAAAGGCTGCAGAAAGGCTATATTCCTCTAATATGACCACGGAAAATTTTCTAGATTATCAAAAAATAGCTGCTCAGACCCAAAAACTTCTATCCGAAAAGAAAAAAAAAGGATGGCTTTCATTCTGTGAGAGCCTATCTCCCCGATCACCTTCTTCTCTTGTTTGGAAAAGTATCAGGCGCTTCCGTGCTGCTTTAAATTATAGTAATCCCCTTGTGCAGACCCTTCCCACTGGCTAGACGACTTCAGTAACTGACTGGCTCCCCCTGGGTTTCATTGGAAGAAGAGATATTTCCTAACTCTAAATCATTCCCTCCTCATTCATCTAA